TCGTGCTTTACACAGACTGATTGATTTTGGTTTTTAGGGATAATAATAAGGACGAAGAAAAAGAAGAAGTAGAAGAAGGAAAAGGAGAAAAAGAAAAATTAAGTGAACCGGTATTTGATTTACTCGGGTATTCGCCTTGTATCCGATATATTCTGCCTAATTTGTTTAGTCGATAATTTTGGTTTGACAAATTTGTTTTACCCTCCAATCTGTTAGACGGAATCGTTTGGTCATTTGTCTATTGCAACACCCTTAATCGGCCTTTTTGCCATAATTCGTCATGAATATTCGCTTGAATGCTTTGACGTTTGATCTATATCAGTAATAGAATTAGAAAAGCATTTCTGGGACAAACAGCGAAAAGACGTTTAGCGAAACAGCTTTGGTGGTGCATAAAGTTTGACTCATGTATAATTGTATTATTATTTCAAGAAAGTCACATATCAGGTTAGCGTTCTTCCTTTTGATTATCAAAATAATTTCAAATAGTATTTTGACCATAGACACTTGTGAAAATGAGAAGTTGAGGAAATACCTTTTTCTTATTAATAAAAATGTCGCTTAATTTTTTGACGGGGGTCCGTGTAAGGTTTTCTTTACTTTTTATTTAATGCTTGAAAGCGATTTACAGTTGTTTTACGTTACGCTCGTTTTTCTTCTTTATTCTTTTTTCTGGTTTATGTTCTTTATTGTTGTTTGAAGAAGGAACGTTTTATTTGAGTGCACGACAAGGTTAGCATTATCGCTGGTTTATGTAGTCTTTAGTCTGCTTTTTGGATTTCAGTACTTAAAGGGTCTCTTTTTTTATTTCTATTTTCTTTTATCTTATTGGCAGTTTAACTTAAATGTGTACGGAAGTGTAAAAAAAATTTTTTGTAACGCTTTAAACATATAAAGGAGGGATTTTTGTAGGTATTTATTTGCTGATTAGTTATTTGTTTTAAACGAATTTTTTTTAACATTTTGGTTCAAGGGAAAGTTTCATTTGTAAAACTTTAGCATTATTTTAGTGGTGTTTCAAAAGCGAAACTGTTAAAAATCAGCTGTCTTCAGATTATTCCAAAACTATTAAACAGAAGTTTAATTTTTAGTAGCTTAGTTTAAAATACTTTCTAAAAATTTTCAAGCTTCAATGGCAGTTAATTTTTACGTAGGTAAAGATTTTTCTTGTTAGTATCTGGTAAACTGGGCTTGGAAGAGCTGAGTATAAGAAGAAGGAGCATTTTTTTAAGGCTGAATGTTGCTCTTGTTTAATTGTGTTAATTTAGTTGACCATACCATTAATTTGCGTGAATGGCTCTGGTACGAGATGCTGGATGTGAAAGGTTAAAAAAATTGGAAGAATGTTATCTCAGTGCTGTCCATCATGAAGACGCTCTATCTATTGAAGCATTACTCGATTCGCTCATTTGTTTATTTGATGAGTGCTGCAGTTCGACATTACGGAAAGAGAAAAATATCGCCGATTTTGTCGAATATGGTTTGTATTTGCATTTGTTTTTAGTGTTTTAGCTGTACGTAAGAAGTCAGTATTTTATTTGTAAAATTATTTAAAAAATTTTTGAACACTTTGTGTTGCAAAGTTTGCCTCTATTTTTTCTCCTTTTGCATTTTAATATATTTTTTTAAATTTCGCGCTGAATTTCGTTCACTTTTTTTATTATTTGTAATATATTAAGCGTTCAGTTAAGCTGATGGTCCTACTTTGAATACTGATTTCTACTAAATGTGTTCTTTTTATTAGAGCTTTTTTTGAACAAATTACTAGATCTGCAATACGTAGATATTTTTTTTTTCTGTATCTCAGCCAAAACAGTTCTTCATCTAGTTTCGTATTTCTGAATTTTTTGAGGTCTAAGAACAGCAATTTTTTTTCAGAGTTTAAGTCACAGTTTTATCTCTCTTTTATGCTAATTTTCTAGAAGCAAAATACAATGAATAAAATTTGAATTTCCATAATCTCAACAATTTGGATTGCGAGAAGTTAGTTGATATTAGGCTGGCGTTAGACTTTCCTTTTCTTTTTTACTTGTGTTTTTTTTTTT